ATTAAATAATAAAATCTCTAGATTTCATATTTAAGCATATAAACAAGTTGTATAAACATCAATAGCATGTTATATAACAATAATTAAACCTATAACGCCCCCTACCTCAATTTGAGATGAAAACCTCAAAGGCCCACCGAAAAAAAAGTGTTCCGAATCCGCCGAAACCGAAGGGTTTTGTCGAGGACAACACGATCTACATGAATCCGAAGGAAGCCCCATGAAAATCACAACTTGACCTCAAACCCAAACTCAAGAAATGGTCAAAAATGAATTCTAATAAGGGAGAATGGTAGAACACGTCGAGGGGAATAAAAACCGTGAAGGCCGAAGACTTTTTACTTAGGAAAAGTAAATCAAAGGAAGAGAGAGAAGGTGGCAGCTCCATGGGCATCCATGGCTGCTTCAGGTCGTGCAAGGACAGTGGGAAACATGAAAAATAAACTATTTCACCCCCCTTTTATAAAAATCTCAAAAAGTGCCCCTAACGGGCCCCGCCAAGTCCAGAAAAGTGAAATTTGAGCAAACGCGCTCAAATGGCAAAACTCTGTGAACAAAAAAGATTTAAAATGAGAAAATATGAACAAAAGAAGAAACAGCATTAAAAACTGAGTTCCGAGCAAAAAGTTATGCCCCGAACAAGTTCGGCGACAACCGGGTCCAGAAACTCTGAAACTGAAGAAAAACGATCAGAAGGAAATTCTATGAATTTACGAGTTAACGAAAAGTGAAAATGAATCCCGTATGAGGATCCAGGCTCCAAATGAGATATTTTGTAATAACTTTCGTTAATTGCACAATGGCCCCTACAAAAAGGGTTAACTACTAAAGTGCTCCAGAATGAAAATATCTTCCAAAAGATATTTTCTTAGATACCCCTGAAATAAAATATTTTCAAAAGATATTTACAAAAAACACCCCAAGAAAAGAAAAAGATTCTGAAGAATTATGCATCCACGTCCCTATGGACACCGGGAGCAACCAGAGTACTTTCTTGCAAAAGTGAAGATACGATTTCAAGGAAACCACTCAAGATAAAAGGCACGTGAAGTCAAGAACCAACTCCGAGCATGAGAAGTGAGGCTGTGCCAACAATGTGACAAATGGGGAAAAGACAGAATAGGGAAAAAGACGAAACAGGGAAAAGGACGAAAGGCGCATAGTGTCCGAAAAGTGAAAATGCTAAAATGACTCGGTCCTCAAAGGAAGTTGTCAATTCACATGAAAGAGTCTCAGAAACCAATTTCGAGCACTCGAGATGACACTAAGCGACACGAAACAGAGCTCAGAAAAGAAAATTAAACGAAAAAAATTCATTCGTAAAATTTCAAGAAAAAGGAAAAGGAGGCAAATGACCGGGTCGTTACAAGCTCACTCACTACCATGCCTTATGTGTATAATCCATTATGTTAATTACTTAGCCATAGGTCCCCATGCATCAATAACTAGCATATAGTATACACTAATCAAGTCCCAACTCATTCTAGGTCAACCCTACCCGTCGTTCCTAGGTTTTCTAACCTACAGCTCTAATACCATTCTATAATGTCCCAAAAATTCATAACGCAATAATTACATTAATAATCTCACATACATACATGCATAAAAAAATAAAAATAAAAAAAATTCTCCCAGGACCTAATCAATTATATCAACATCCTCAATATACATAAATCAATACTAAAAATACATGTCCAAAATAAATCTCCAAATAGACAAAATAAATCCGCAACACAAGTTCCTCCATATTCTTTTCATTTCCTCAAAATGTTAAGGAAGGGGTGAGCAACACTTGCCCAGTAGAGAGTGGCTAAATCACATCTCCTATAACCACGTGAGTTACACAGACAAAGAAGAGAACTAAAGGGGAATGGATCATACTTTGAAAGGGAAAGTCATGTTTCATCATATGGGTATCGTAATAAAGAGAAAAAGATGATATAAATAGCAATATCTAAAGTAATTCCAATTTAATTCAATGTAAGATCATCGGTCACAAAGCACAATTTAGTAATGAACATACATGATATGAATCATAATGCATCCCATCCCAAATCTGGTCTATATCGACCCAACCTTCACTTTTCGAAAATTCGCTAACCGACTTTACCGAGGCGAGATTGATAGTTATCCCCGGTTCCAAATCCAGTAACCGTTAAAGGGCCTAGTATCAACTTTTTCATGCCTTACACCGGGCTGCGCTCCCTCTATGTTAAGCTAACCCTAGACTCGCGAAATCTAGTTCATTTAAATAAAATAAAAAAAAAAAATCTTCTCTTCCATTATCAAAAACTTCACTTTCCAAAAGAAAATTTTCCTTTTTCAAATCCTTTCTAAAAACTTTTGGAAATTAATGCTTCATTTGACCAACCCAAACCAACCATACCATGCCAATGTGAATGCCATGAATGAAATGGGCTCTGCACACAAACCACGACACACACACCCATCCCATGCATGTGTGATAAATGAACATGGCATTATAATGTCCCAATTTTAGAATTGAAGTATGATTCTACAAACTTAGCAAGCATACAAGCATGAACAACAATTGTGAACACTTTCACATAATTTCCACAATATCTGCAGAGTCCTCACAAAACAATTCATAGATAATTCATTTTAAAACGAAAAGGGGCAAACCATAATTCTTTGGAATCTAAACTCAGAAAATAATATGAAAAATTTACTCCCAATAGCTTAAGCATTTCCAATGAAATCAAATTTTACAAGTAAAGTAATAATCCTCAACTAGAAGAAAATCTGGGCAACTTTGAGAGAAAATTTATAGAAAATTCATCCAACACCGGAATGTGGGAAATTAAATTCATTTTGAATGCTAAATCATGAGAGTATAAAACTGAAATTTTTTGTAATCATTCGATATCGGGATGTTGCCCAAATAATTTCATAAACATTTGTTTTCAAACTGTGGTAGAAAACTGAGCAGCGACTACCGTCTGAATTTTACAAAACATAATACATGGTCTAAAATCATAAAAATTGGCAAAAACTCACTAGACTAGTGTTAGAACTTGGAATAAAATTTTGAGAATTTTTATACATTGGGAAGTCAACCAAATAACTTTGTCAAACCTGTTTTCAAACAGTGACCGGAAACTACACAGCAGCTACTCTCCAATTTTTATAAAACTAAGTACACGGTTTAAAATCATCAAAAATTACAGAACTATACTTGACTGATGCAGGAACTTGGTATAAAATATTTAGAATTTTTCTACGTGAGAAAATCAGTTAAACAATTTTATCAAAACTTCTTTTCCAGTAGTGACATGAAACTGGACAGCAGATACTTCTAGATTTTTAGAAAAATATGCACGCGCTCTAAAATTATAAAATTTTTATGACATATACTAGTCTCAAAGGAGAAGTTCCAGTAAAAATGTAGTTTCAATTGGAGTAACACAACATTTAAATCAAAATTCATTCCAAAGAAGGTTGGCATATTCACAAGGTAAGATATGTCATCAACAAGTGAATCAAAGGAAGCAAGGTTCAACAAAAATATGGCATGAATTCATTAACTAAAATCAAGAGAACAATGAATTTAACCATATAGGAGGCTGCCCAAGGCAAATAACATAATCATCAAAGACTTAAGTATGCTTTGACATGAATAATAACTAATTTACTCACAATAATCAAGGAAATTGTGGGTTAGACACCCCTATCTCAAATTATAGCAAAACCCCCAAAATTGAAGTCCTCCAATCCCATGCATGAATGGGGCCAAATGAAAGCCCTCTTCGTGCTTTCCAACTTTCCCATCTATGGCAAAATCAAATTCTCAAATAACAAAGCTAGATCAAAGCCTAAAGTGTGTGAGAAAAAGAAAATAAATAAATAAATAAATAAATAGAGCAAAGAGAGAGAACACATTAAGTTCAATTATTTTATTTGTAGCAAACAAGTAGTTAGTTTATCGAAATCAGGAGGTGATCCAGCCGCACCTTCTAGTACGGCCTTCAGAGACTAGTTGGTGTAGCGATGATGGTAGGTTGGTTGGATCACAAAGGTTACTGAGAACGAGCAGCCCCTTTACTCAGATAGTCACGGTCCTTCATGCCTGGGAATACAACTCTGATTTAGAGGTAGATTGGGACATTCCTCGATATTGCTGAATCATAGACAAATCACAGACAAATGAAAAACAAAATAAGTCAATCTATCTATATGTGTGTTAATATCTAGAGTAGAATCATATGAAGGGGATGTTATATTTTTATATCTAACCAATTTGTGGCGGCATGCTTAACACATGCAAGTCGGACGATCGCCTGGAAGGGACAAAAGAAAGATCTTGTTGTTTCTTTAACAATTTTCGATTCTCAATGAGGATTAGCCAGGCCTCGCCACTTGAGTGAAAGCTTAAGGCTTGTCAATCTATTTCTCCCTCACCCCAATGTGGACCCATAAAACGTAAGCCACGAATAAGCCTGGACCTAAACTTAGCCTCTGACTCGTATTGTGTAACCCGCAAGTCGGCTTGAATAATATTCATTACTTGAAGTGGTTCTTTCGGGCAAGAAAGTATGTAGGTCTAGATCTTATCCTGAGTTCTAGGCTTCAAAACTTCTGGATTGAGCATAGGTGGTTCCCCCCTCCTGCTACGACTAGCAGCTCCAGCTCGCAACCACGGGAGTCCGCTCGGCGAGGCGCCAAAGTGGGGAGAATGATCTTCTTCGGTAGATTCCTTTGATCCGGCAGAACAACTCAAAAGATAAAGAAGTATCGTTAATTTCTTCATAGTTGCTAAATCTGCACAATTCCCCCTTCATGTTTTGTGGAGAAGGAAAGATGAAGCAAACTGTAATGACCAATAAGTCATTAGATATAAGTGGGTCCCACGGCTTGTAATAAAAATCTTTATTAATGTAACATATATACACACACACACACACAACAAACATAATACCACCACACATTTATACATATAATCATGTGCACAAGTATCAAAGAAATATGCATGTAGTGTAATGAACCCAAAATAAAATTCCCGAACTCAACAGCCCCGGTAGCGGATCTCACCTGGGACCTTTCAACCCGAAAAACGAAAAAATTCCGAAATGGTAACCAATACATTTCCAAGAGTCCTGAGCTCAAGGAAATGTCCTAACTAACTCTAGAGACTCATTTGGCACACCCCACGGTGCCCGGTACTTAAAACAAGACAATTCCAAAATAACCTCGAAAAATTGAAAAAAATTCCCAAAAAATGAAAAATAGAAAAAATCAGAAACATCACGGCACCATGCATCGATCTCCCTCAAAATTTTCTCAGTCAAGGCTTGTTCAAAAAAAGAAAGAATAATTTCCCACACCCGTTACTACTGTGGTCGTAATTATTTGATCAATTATATGGAAGGGTTTGTCTTTCCCTCGTTTTTGCACCCGTTTAAAATTCAAAAAATAATACAGACCAGAACATACATATCAGTACAATATGTGTGAGTATTGATCAGTAGTAACCCCTCTTTCTCTCTCTATAAATCAAAAATCTCATCAGTGGATTGAAGAGAATTAGAAACCAAAGAAAGAATATAACAACAATCTAGGGTTTTATTTGGTTGGATCACTTCATCAGATGATGATACGCTCTTTCTTGGAGGGTAAATTCAAAGAGTATCTGTGCAGATCTGTGAGAGCGATGGGTTCTTTCTTCTGCTGTTTCCGAATCAAAGACGACCAGAATTACTTATCAAAGAAAATGGACGACCAGACTCCTCTCGTCCTTGAATCTTCAGTCCCTTCGAAGCCCAGAGTACGTCTTTTTTCCCTTCATTTTTAGCATTTTTTTTACTTTCCGTTTGGTTGCAGAGAAAATTGGGGAAATAGATAAATGAATTTTGACGCCTATTTAATAAAATAGGGGGTTTCTTGTTGTTTGCGTTCCAAGAATTGAAGTCCTCTATTTCCTACATTTTCTCAGCAACCAAACAGATGTTTATCGAAAGTTGTTCATTTTCTGTGTTTTTTTTATCAGGAGCCCTTCATTTCTCGATTTCGCCTATTGCCTCTGCTGCATTCAGGTAACTCATTCTATTTATTTACAAATCGATTTGATATTTCTAATTGTGCTTTTAATCGTCTCAGATCTTGATTGGTCTATTCAATGCATTGATGTTCGTGAAGAATTATAGTCTTAGGCATGTTTGAATCTTCTAGTTTTCAATGTCATCTAGAAAAATTCATCTACAATTCTCTTGTATTGATCTTCCCCCATGTTCTGTTGTCACTCTCATTGCAAAGCTTGTCATCCACATATGTAGGACTGACTATAAACTTATTCAAGTCCTTTAATTTCATATTCCTAGAACGCTTTCTAGTTTCTACTTTCTTAGATAGAATTTCAGTTATTCACAACATTCGTTTTGCTAGATATTATTTCTAAGATTTCGAACAAAATGTATTTGATGATGTAGAGATTTAATTTGTATAGCCTTTTGTTTCGCTATGAGAAATATGAATTTGGTTGCTGAACTTAATTTTTTTTTTTCAATTGAAGAGAAAGATGGTTCACCATGCAAAAAGGATAAGAAAAATCATGCTTTTGGTACTCCACTGCCTGACTTTGATGACAAAGAGCTGAAGGATGAGGTCTGTACTCATTGCACAATTTGTAAAGTTCTTAAAACATTCTGTTATTATTATTATTAAAATGTTTGCTAATAGATTAAATTAGATAAGAGACACATGCCTGGTAAGTATGCTTCTTTAAGAATGTCAAGAAATCATTGTGCTAGTAGACCTGTAGTAAACCTTCACCTGGTGCTTCGAGGATTTTTTTTATTTTTATGTTTACATTATTCTGACTGTGCCTTGGATGAGTTCTTATTAGCTCATTGTTCTCTTTGTTGAGGAGTTTGGTTATTGAACTTGTAATCTTAATTGAATTTCAATTCATATCTCCCCTTATGTGATGTGGAGGAGTGGTTTTTGGTTTATGTAGTTTAGTTTATAATTTGTCTTGAAGAGAATGCATTACCGGTCCTCTTTCACATTCTAGTGGCTTATGTTACCCATTTTATTTAACTCTTATTGTTCATTATCTATGGAAAAAACTTTGCTGATTTAATAATCGTCATCACGATCAAAATATTTTTCATCATTATTATTACTAATATACTCTATTGGATACAAATAAAATTAAAATTTGAAATTAATCGAATGACACTTTATTATATTGGAAAAGATTTTTATAGAGTTGGAGTAGGGACGTAAACGCTTTTTAGAAAAAATAATGTTAGTGAAATTTAATATAATAAGAAATTATCCACCTCAGTACCTCCATGTTGCAGGTAATATTTCAGACTGAATGTTAAGTGTTCCTATGAAACTTAACTAATTACGCAGCTGGTTTGCTGTTGTATTAGCTGGCTGAAATTAGATTACGAAATACCGATCTACCTTTGTCCTTGTGGTTTTGGGTCTCAATTCCCAAGCCCTAGGACAAGGTTTCGAGACTGGTGGAGACAAAAGAAAGGGGGAAAAAAAATAGATTACAAAATCTCCTGGTACTTTTTTGGAATATACCCAAAGCTCCTTGCAATTTTGAAACTTTGAGTTCCTATAGTGGAATGGGTTTTCAGTTTCTAGCGTTTCATTACTTTCATGAGGTTCTTTGATTTAAAACACTTGCTACTATTTAAGATTGAAAAAGTGATTCCATGCCTGAGGTTCTTTGATTTAAAACACTTGCTACTACAATCTTTTGTATTCTTCTTCTTTTCATAAAATTACTTTGATTATTTTATTTTGTTTTCTTTTTTGTTATTCTCAAAAATAAATTGGAGCATTTTAAGCATTGTTGGCATTTATTTGGTTTTTCGATCCTTATTTGTTGTATTATGTTTTAATTTTCTTTACCTTTTGCACTGGAATTCACAGTAAAGACTGGTCTTTATCTTGTTAGCAAATGCTAAGATTGCCTATTTCCTTCATTCGTTTTTTTGATAGAAACTCTTTTTCGTAGATTTCTAAAAAAAGAAAGTAAGATGCTTCTAGGTTTTATGCTGGTAAATTTTTTTTTACTTGTCTTTAATCCTTTAGTTGACTTTGATCATGATCCTATTTTCTTTTAGCAATATTATGGTCAATTAAAGTTAAGATTCAACAACATTTTCTTACAAGAATTGATCGTCATTTATATGGTATTGTCCATTTTTATTTCAATTTCTTCAGAGCCTAATATGTCATTCATTGATTTGGTTAATCTTATTTTGCAGGCTATGTTCCTCAAAGCTTGTGGTACTGTAATTCAGACTCCTCCTGAAATACGGAAAGCATCTGAGAAACTGAAAAATTTAACACCCCATGATGAAGGTACTGTAACATCAAAATTTCATTCATGGGTTCCCAATGCACCAATTGAAAAACTCTGGCCGGACAAGCAACCAGATCGGCCTCCTACTTCTATCAAGTTTGGTGAAACATGGGAAAATGGATCAGTTTCGTCAGAGCATACACCTGGCAGGTTGAACCTAATCTGTGTGAAATGCTATGAAGTGACTAACTAAATACAATATGCTTCTAATTCTGATTGAGCATGCGTTTACATGAGAAAAGTGACCTGGCATATGTTACATACTTGTAAGGATTAATTCAGAAAACTGATTTTGACCCTTTTAAACTAGAATATATTATTCTTTAAGGCTTTGAAGAAAATACCAGTGGCTTCTTAGAGATGAAATGTGAAGCAAACATGATGTGGCAACATGATATATCATGCTTCCTCCTCCATTTTGTCTTTTAGTCCTTTCTGGCACACAGGTTTTTCTTAGGGGTTCATTGCATGGTCTTCATGTGGGTAATGTGCATACTTAATATTTTTAATTGGTCAGATTTCATTTCCACTTGTCTGACTGTCATGTTTTTTTTTTTGGTTTTTGTAGCTGTATATCCAATGGACAAATTTCTGGAAGAAACTCTACCTGCTCTACCGAAGGCAGTGTTGGTACTACCACTAAGATTCATGTCGATCAGACTCATGACACTTCATTAATTTCACCCACTCCTTTGACTGAAAATGTGCAGCGCATGAGCAAGTCTGTGCATTTTGAATGTGAGTCCGATGTGACTTCATATTCATCAAGCTTTTCATCTGGGATTGCTAGCCAAAATTTGAAGCAATCTGAGTCAGCAGGTATCAACATTGCGTCAAAGTCTTCACCTTACCCAACCCCACTAAAACTAACTAATGAGATGCAAACACCTGGAACTGTGTTCCCTGCGTATTTAGAAAATATGGCAAACAGGAAGAACCCCCATATTAGGTCTCAGTATGTGTACACAGTCCTGAATACTGTTGAAAATTTCTCCAACTGGAAGGCAGTGAAGGAAGAAGATTCCAACTCCTATCAACTATCAGGTAATCTGAGTGGATCTCTTGAGCAGGCTGATACTGATGGCCCCAAGTCAGAAATGGAGATGAGGGTAAGTTCAGTTGAGGATGAGATGAAGGTGGAAGCAAGCCTGTCTTCTTGGCTGAAACCACAACCAGTCAATCAAGATGATGGCTCTCCAAACTTTGATTATGTTTCTACAGAAAATGCTCAGTCTGGCAGAACTCCTGGGGACACGGCTACATTTGGGATGGTTACTGATCTCTGGGATAAAGATGAACTTTCTCACACCTCGCCAAAGTGGTGCGATGGGAATGGAATTCTGAATTCTACCAAGTATGAAAAGGTACTTTTTACTTATCTTCATCATCGTTTCTCCTGGCCCGCACATACAAATTTTGTGTAAAAATCATGCCAGTTTCAACTTGTTTGCAGGATCAGAAAGTTAGTTGCCATGCAACACCTTTTGAGGAGAGATTAGAAAAAGCATTCTCTGAGGATATCTTCATCTCTCAGAGGTATTTCATGCTTCCTCCTCCATTTTGTCTATTCAGTCATGTTGCCGTATCATGTTGCTAGGGATTTAGAGTATACTTAAATTGTGTCATGGTAGATTGAACCCAAACTAAGGTTAATGTGGAAACCCCAGTACTTTCTCATCCCAGTTTGCAGTGGTCTTTTTTTTGGCCAAGCCATGTCATGCACATTATTTTTTTTTTTTATCATTTTTATTCCTAGTTGATACTCACGCACCCCCCTCCAAGGAATTGTTTGCACCCAAGAGGAGTTGAATCTTAGACTTCATGAGGCATTAGGGTCAAGTGACTTGCCCACTATTTTTGTTGTGAATCATTGGATAATTAACAATGAATATTCTTTTGGACAAGTTATTTAAACAATCATTGTAGTATAAGATGTCCATTTTTTAAAGCAGAATGGTGGAGGAAGAAATTAAGGCTCTCCCAAAAAAAATTGTGAAAATAATTTTGCGAATTAATCTCTCTCCTAGATATAGGGCTCCTTCATTCTCTCTGTCATTGTACTTGGGACAAAAACCTGTCCTTTCCTTTAAGAGGATTTCTTTATAACCTGTAGCACAAGGCTTGAAAAGCAGAATAGTGCAGGAAGTGTAAGGAACCCCATTATTGAAGTGACAGTCTTCTAGTGTATGATGTAAATTTTGTATGACCATCTTATTTCTTCAAGATGTCCATTTGATGTTTTGACTTGTGCACCTCAAATATACTCGTTCCTCTTTCGTTCTATATTATAGTGAATGAAGCTGCCATCCATAAGGGTATCTATAATTGAGTATGTAATGTCGGCTTTATCTTAATGAAAATGTAACAAAAATTTTGATGTTGTTAATAAGAATGTAACAGATAGAAATCATAGAACTAAGATTCAATCAGACTGGGTCGTGGTATAATTTTCTGTCATTTCGCAACAAGTCAATGAACATCAAATCAAATAATTTGGTAAGTTAACTCTTGTTAAAAAAATAGATATGAGATTCTGAATGTTTGTGTTATATTTGGTAAGTGATGCAATCTGAATAATTACAATAACTTATAATGGTTGCTCATTTATTTATTTATTTTCATTTCTATTGAAGATTGAATTGGTCGAGAAAAATCCTCCTTGTTTCTTATTTTATTTTTATTTTTTCTCTCTTTTCATTCTCATCATTTCTTCGAGCCTCCACCATTGTATTGTGTATGAAAAGAGATATTATAATGAAAGATATGTAGCCCTTTAGGCTCTTTGTGCCGTGGATGTAGGCCCTAGTGGCTGAATAACGTAATAGCTCTGCGCTCTACTTGTTTTAATTTCTTTCTTCACATATATTTTATGCTTTACAACAATTTATTTTTTCCCAAATAAAGTAATTTCTGATTAGTCTTTCATTTGATTTACAGGAAGCAAATCCATGGGACACCAACAATAGATTTGAATGGAAATGTGGAAAGTGATACTTTTTTAACCTAGGTTGCCATCTCAGGCCCATTCCAAGTGGTTGCTACTTGCTTCACTCTGATGAATGCTAGACAATATCATTGTTCATTGTCTCTTTTTGTGAATTTGGATTTCAGAACTACAATGAGAGTTTGTAGGAATTTCTTGAACATTCAAACTGAGGATGAAAGTTCTGCTTGTGTAGCTTTTTCACAGTATGAAGCAGCAAAATGTATAGTCAAATTTTTGGCTTGGCCTCATGTTCTTAAAACTTTTCTGCTCTTTTTGTCTTTTATTTCGCCTTGCCTTGTCTTGCTTGTGAAGATTAATCAAGATAGTTTGTCTTTATTTTTGAGTCCATTAATTTTGCAAGTTGAACTTGACTTGAATGGTTTAGAACAATTATTATTATTACTTACGAAAAACAAAATAATAATAATATTAACAATTATTATTGACTGGTATGAAGGCTTAGTAAAAAAAAAAAAAAATTTAAAGAAAAAAAAAAAAAATGAATTACCTCAAGTTTATGGAATCATGGTCTGTACTACTTCAAGCTTTGGATAGAGGGTGTACCACATTCAAACCTTCTTCCTCAATCTTCAGGCTTTGAAGTAAGAGCTGTGAAGTTTATTCTCTAGCTGTATTTTTCAATAATATCTTGTATAACTAGAGAGACATCATTATATTCAGAGTGAATTTGTGGTGAGCTTGGTGAGCGCTCTGAGTGAAATTGTGTGTGTATTTCCAATTCATTCCTTGTTTGCTATATTTGGTGTCCTACAAGTTTGACTTTTTATGTGTGAAGTCAAACTTGCATCAAGTTGTAAAGTTAGAAAAATCTCATAAGATACCAATTCATCCCCTCTTGTTATCTTCAAAAACTCAGTCTTTAATCTAGTATCACGCCAAACCCAGGTCTCGAGGTGTTCGATTATGTTATCCGGGTAGGTGGAGTGATCAGACTGCAATGAGAATGTTATGTGTTCGGACGAAGAAAATGATAGAGGTTCGAGTATGGGAAAATTGTTAGAGGTTCTTGTCTTGCATCGAATCCAAATATATCTAGATAGAGAGAATTTTAGGGGCGAATTCAGAAATTATCACTGGTGTGGGATAATATTAAACATAAATTTAACTAACTTAGACTTGTTTGTGAACTAATATTTGAGTGGGCTAATATTAATAATAATTTTTTAATTTCTTTGAGTGGGCTTCTAAGACCCTGAAGAGTTTTGATCACATGTGAATGAGCATGCAATACTATCTAATGGTGTTTAAACTGTCCAACCCATCCAACCCATATTGCATTTAATTAGTATAAGGAGGCTGTATGACATTTTTTTATAGTAATTTATTTTTACAGTTTGCTGCAAGACATGGTGATACTTTTTTCTAAATAGAAAATTGAGTGCAGTTGTACCCACCTTTTACTTGCATAGGCCAACCGTCACTTGTGAAAGCCACAATTGTATCACACCATTTCTCTCTTTCTATTTATTTATTTGCACGACGGCTTGAAGCCTTAGAGAAATAATTAGATGGTTTTGATCATTTGGCGCTTAGTAAATTAATTCAATAAAAGTTAATATTAAATTTTTTATATATAATATATTAATAAATTTTGTAAATTCATTATTTTAGTCTGAAAGTTCAAAATTAATTAAAACATTAAGTATTAATGATATAAGATTATATAATAATCTCAAATGTAAGAGCATCACTTAAATGTCACGTGCCTTGTTATTTGAGTTTAAATAATTTTTAATTTATTTATTTTTATTTTAACCTGGCTAGGAATTGGGGAATGAGGTGGGTCAACCCCTACAAACGGCTTAACATCCCCCTCCCGCCCCACCCCCCCCCCCCCCCCCCCCCCCCGCCCCCCAAAAAAAAAAAAAAAACCTACCTAGAATTAACAACAATTAACAATAGCGGGGGTAATTTCCACTGTTTTAAAAGGGTCAGCAGCAAGAACTAAGTCGTTTATATTTTGGGGGAAATGGGTCTTTTCATTTTACCTTTTGTTATATTTATTTATTTATGAATAAAATAGAGCATAACTGTTGACAGTTCCATAAAAAACCGGACTGATGTGATCATTTTTCCTGGTTGAATGGGTTATATGAAAATAATGTATAGTTAGGGAGGTTTTCTGATTTTAACCCTTTAGGAAATTATATCCATGAAAATCAAAGGAAAGAGCTTTCTCACAACTTTTCTTTTTTTCTTTTTCCCCTTCCGTTCACTAACAAATGTATGTCTTGTTAAAAATAGAACCACTGCTCATACAAATACAATTATCCAAACAGAAAATAAAACTAAAGAGAAATAAATATGTGCAGGGACGGAGCCAGAAAATTTGTTCAGCAAAGGCACATTGTAATATTGTACACCATAATATATATATAGAGAGAGTGATATTTTTGGGATTAAACTAAAAAAAACATATATAGTATTTTTTTTTTTAGTTAAGGAATAAACATATATAGAATGTTACTCCCTCCGTCCCAAGATAAGTGTTATGCTTTCTTTTTTGTCCATCCCAAAATAAGTGTTCACTTTCCTTTTTCAAACAATATATTTCACATCATTCCAAGAATGTCCTTTAAGTTTAAATTTCAAACTTCAATATTTAAAACTTAAAAAGGCAACATAGTAGTTTTCTAGGCAAACAATATATGGTCCCACATGTTCCCTTAAAAATCACTACTCCCCATAAGTGACACTTATATTGGGATGGAGGCAGTATAAGAGAGAGTGAAAATTCGCCCTCGGGGGGCACTTTCTATATTTTTGTGAAAAACACATATAAGAAAAATATATATAAAAGATAAGAGGGATAGAAAATCCCACTCCCTCCGTCCCTGAATATGCGTTCCTCAGCTGAGGCAGCTTCTTCCTCAATGATAGAAATGGACAACTTCTTGAAGGGATGGTAGCTTCAACCGTGTATTCCTCACAATTATGAAAGAGCATTTATAATACACACGCAACACAAAAGGAAATTGAGGACAGGATAATAGTGCGGAGAAACAAAACTAGGAAACATCAGAAATAATGCACCGAATCCCATCTATTGAGATTTTACCTATTATAATCCGAGATTATACAAATCCTACAGCTATAGGATTGAATTATTTACTCCGTGATTTAGGGCTAATTAGTAGGTAATTTGTTTCCCAAGTATTATATATTTAGTTACCTATTTTAGCTAGGTATTACTCTATAAATTGGATGTAATACCATCGTGAATATTATTGAATTAAGTTTTTAATCCTCATATTCTTTCTTTGAATTTCATGATAGTATCAGAGCTTCTATCAATGAAGCACGAACAACCTCCAATAAGTGATGATTTTTTCGCTCTACAACCCCGTTCTGCTAGGGTGTATTGGAACAAGTGGTTTGATGAATAGTTCTATGGGCTCCCAAATAGTGTTGAAGATCCAAACTTCGATATTCTCCACCATTGTCACTACGGAGAACTTGAATATGTGCATTGTAGTGAGTTGCAACCAGTTTATGAAATTTTTGAAACAATAAGTTTACTTCACTTTTGGATTTCATCAAGCACAACCAGGTCATCCTGGTACAGTCATCAATAAAAGTAACAAACCAACATGATCCACCTAAAGTAGTGACTTTGGACGGACCCCAAACATCAGAATGTATAACCATAAAAGGAAGTTGACTTTTATTCAAACATAATGGAAACGAAGCACGATGGCTCTTTGCTAGTTCACAAATATCACAGCGAAAACTAGAACCATCAAAATTTTTAAATAAACTAGGAAATAATTTTTTCTGATAACCAAAGGAAGCATGCCCCAGACGTCGATGCCACAACCAGATTTCAGATTTCGTTTTCTCCCCTTCAGAAACATCCACTGTCAATCCTTGTCGTAGCTTGTTATAACTTTTTGACATCAAGTCCAAGTAATACAGCTTCCCTCGCCTAATACCACAACCAATCGTCTGTTTTGTTTGGATGTCCTTAAACACACAAAAATCAGGCCAAAAAATTACACCACAAGATAAAGCTGTGGTTATTTGAGAAACTGACAAAAGATTATAAGCTAAGGATGGAACAACTAAAATAGAATCGAAATGCAGATTATCAGTGAGTGTCAAAGAACCTTCCCCAATAAATGGGGTCGAAGTACCATTGGCAGTGGAAACAAATTGTTGGGAGGAGGAAGTAAGAGATGAGACCTATCTAAAATCAAACGTCATATGATCTGTAACATCAGAATCAATTATCCATGCACTATTAACAACAGGTGTACAAATATTTAAAAACTTACCACCATTATCTCCGGTTACTACCAACCCTAAGGCCTTTTCAGCACCATCATCCTCGGTCTTAACAATTGTTGCAGTAGAGGTCTTCAACGAATTCTTCTTCCAACGACTATGATCCCACCATTCCGGATATCCCACAAGTTCGAAACAACGACTTTTGGTATGACCAGTCTTATTGCAATGAGTGCATTTGAAGGTAGACTTGTCTGCACCGTTGGTGGCTTTAGATTGATTTGGTTTAGTACGGTCTTGCCAGTTTTGCCTTGAATCTGTTGCGAGCCATCATGACTGAAGCTTCAGAGTTTTCGGACTCCCCTGTCAGAGTTGCACGACGTACCACTTCGCATCGAACTAAAGCGTAACAACCTTCCAAGTCTGGAATTGGATCATTGCGTAGAATTTCTCCACGAACTTGTTCAAAATCACCATCCAATCCGGCAAGAAAGATGTGAACCCTTAGTCGCTCAATAGACTTTCGATATGCTTCAATGTCATCCGGATCTTACATGACCACTTTATCTCGATGGTCCATTTCGCGGAAAACCTCAGTTAGCGCTCCATAATATTCAGATAGATATTTTCCATTTTGTTTAGGAGTGAAGGCCTTTTGGTTCAAGGCGAAAACTTGCAACTCATCATTCCCATCATAAAAGGCCTTTGATAAAGCACTCCAGATTTCACGGGCAGTGGGTAAGCGTAAATAACGCTTCATAATTTCTGGAGTCATGGACATTAATAGCCACTGCTTCACTTTCTAATTTTAGGCATACCATTTGTCAGTCGTCGTCGTTTCAGATCCCGATCCGGCGAGGTCTTCAGCGGTTTGGCAGCGGCTTGTGATGGGTTAATCAATGGTGACTGTGAATTGATGTGTAAGGGTATGGTTATGTTGTATGGGTATGAGATGCCTGTTGATGTATTGGTTGTGTATAGGTTTGGTATTTCAAGGCTAAATTTAAAGAGATTAAAAAAAAAAATTCAAAGAGATCAAAAAATACGGTTCAATGATGGCTCTGATACCATCATGAAATTCAAAGAAAGAATATGAGGATGAAAAA